CTCAAAACATGCTATTGGAGTCAACAAGCTGTGCTTGGGCCTATTGGGCTATGCGAAAAAGAACACGGCATGGTGCATATGTAGGTCAGCTTCAGCTAATTCTATGACCATTGAAAGCTCTCAGGGTCTATTACGGCTTGGAATAGGTTTTGAAAGGTTTTAGGACATTTTAACTTGATTTAGGAGTTCTACAATTCACTAAGGTTTATGTGGTCCTTTGGACTCTGAATCGGGATTTTAGAAATTCCCTTAGCCAGAATTTCGAGGAGGGTGTCTACAGATCTGTCGGACCAAATAAAAAAAATGGGATTTAGTACTATAAAACCTTGGTCTTTATTACAAGGAGTCATAATTATTCCTAGCCATTAGATGTCAAAGTGCATGGCTTGGGTTGTGCCATCAAGTTCGAGAATTTCTTTTTGAAATTTTAATATAGTCAATGACACTCTTAAAACCACGTGATTTGAAATTTGATGAACAAGAGTGATTATGACCTCATTGTACCAAAAGTCAATGGTCTTTTCCTAATCCTCTATACTATCATCCACGACCATGAACTCATGAGAATGATTAACCTCATAAATTATCTTTGTGAGGGAGCCACAACATTCATCACCATCTCTTGTTTATGTCTAATATACAGAATGTATTATTACGGTTTGAAAATTAAAATGATAACCTCTACATTGTCCTTAGGGTTAGGAATGGGTTAGGTTAGGCAGGGTATGGGTCGTGCTTGACTTGGACCTGACCCGGTGATAATATAGTTCCCAGACCATGATCAAAGTGGTTCCAACACCACTATACGAAGAGAATATGCTTCTTGCATTTAAGTCAGAAGGAGAGCAAAATTTATATTGCTGATAATGAAAAAGAGAAATAAGAGAGGAAGGAGAGCGACAATTTATCGAACAAAAGAATGAGTAAGAAAAATAATATCTGAGAGCTAAATGTAGCAGGAAAAGAGCCCTAGTGTAATTGGTTAGCGCATGGTCCGTGGTGGTTTTCATGGATTTTTTGACCATCGTCACGGACATGCTATGTCTGTGGCAGTCTAAAAATCCTCACCACCATAGGAAAACGGATAGCAATGGTGCTATGGGTGAGATCACTATAGCATCTCGCCCATAGGTGTTGCATAGATGTTTCCTATATATATATAGCAATGATTTCATGCAACGGTTGTATCATAGTATAATACAATGACACTTCTAGAAAACCATGTTTGTTATTTGTACGACCAAAAATTTTGAACTCACACTCTCTTCATCTCAATAATCAATCTAAAAAAAACAAATTTCAATTTAAACCCTAGATATGGTCAAAATGAGTCTCCTCCAAAAATGAATCTAGGCCATTCATTTGGTGAATTTCAAGATCTTAGTCTTTATAAACTCAAAATCATTTTTTTATTTTTTAACATTGTTCATCTATTAATAATAAAGCCATCCTAAAAAATTGGAAATGAAAAATTCATTCTAAGGCCTAGATCTAAGCATCTCATCAAAATGAATGGCCTATGTTAATTGGGCTAAAAAAATACTTTTTAGGTTGTGTTTTTAAATTTATCTTTTTTTGATATTGTTTGAAAGGAGTGTGTATTTCAAAATTTGGATCAAACAAATGGCCATAACATGGTTTCTTAGGGTTGTTGCATCATATTACTATACAACCGTATATATATATATATATATATATATATATATATATATATA